AGATTTACCCAATTACAATGTGTTTGATTTCTTGATAATTGCTTCCATGAGGAATGTAGAACCAAATAAGTCAAAATTCTTGACAATTTCCATTTTTTTCTCTACCTATCATGATGTTATTTCTTGGTTTATTTGTGAGGATTTGGGTTTTCTTTACATGGAGTAGTAATCCATGCTGAAGGCTGCAATCCCTGGTCTTCATCAACAAGTGCTTCAAGTCCTCCTCACTGTCAGCAAGCAAGGTTCTGTCGTCTGCATATTGCAGCTTGCTAATAAGACTTTCTCCAATCCTGTTGCCACATTCTTCTTCGCATAATCTAGCTTCATTGAGTCTTTGCTCCGCATATAGATAAGCACAGGGAAAGGATAAAACCCTGACACACACATCTATTCAGATTTTAAACTATGCATGATCTCTCTTGTCTGTTCACACAATTGCCTCTTGATCCATCTACAAATTCTGCATGAGCACAATAAAATATTTTGGAACTCCCATTTTTATCAGGGCTATTAAGATACACACAGTCGAATGCTTTTGCAAACCAATGAAACACAGTAAACATCTTTCTGGTCTTCTCTGTTTCAGCACCACTGGCCTCTTACTCATACGCTACCTCCTGAAATGGTGGCAAGTCAACGGATTCTTTTTGGTACAGTGATTCTATATTCTTTCCATCGTCTTTTGATGCTTCCTACATCATTCAGTATTTTGCCCATTGACTCGTTCAATATTACAACTTGAGGCTTGGATTCTTCCTTCAGCTCTTTCAGTTTAAGATATGCTGAGTGTGTGCTTCCCTTTTGGTTTTCTAACTTAGGGTCTTTACAAATTTCATTGTAATATTTGACTTTGTCTTCTTAAGTTGCCTTTGAAATTTTCATTTCTTCCATTTGCCTTAGCGCTCTACGATTAAGTTTTAGAGTCTCTTCTGACCTCCACTTTGTTCCTTTCCTTCCAACCTTAATGACCTTTTGCTTTCAAGAATGAAGGTCTTGATGTCCTTCCACAGCTCATCAGGTCTTCTGGATTTAGTGCTCAGTAAATCTGTTCTTGAGACAGTCTCAAAATTCAGGTGGGATGGACTCAAGATTGTATTTTGGCTCTAGTAGAGGTGTTTTAATTTTCTTCAGCTTCAGTCTAACTTGCATATAAGCAACTGATGGTTTGTTCCACAGTCGGGTCTTGGCCTTGATTTATAGCAACTGATATTGAGCTTGTTTCTCCATCATTTCTTTCTGTAAATTTAGTCAATTTTATTTCGGTGTATTATAGCTACAGAATTCCACAAGTATTGTGTTGTTGAAAAATGGTGCTTGTGATAAAAGGTTGGTCTTGCAAAATTATCATGTGATTTACACTTCTGTTTCTAACACCAAGACCTTATTTCACAACTACTATTTCTTCTTCTGTTTCCAACTTTGCATTCTGATGGCCAATTATCATCAATGCATCTTGACAGCATGTCTGATCCATTTCAGACCGAAGACAGTAAAAATGTTAAATTTCTACATCACTAGCTTTAGTGGTTGCTGCATAAATTTGAGTAAAAGCTGTATCGAATGATATACAGAGAGATATTATCCTATCACAGTCAACATTGTACTTCCTAATAGATCTTGAAATGAGCTTTTGGACAATGAATACACCATACCTTTTGAAACCTGTCATCACCAGCATGGTAAACCATATGATTTTCCAATACCAGTCCATTTAGCTCACTAATGCCTGACATATGGATCTTTATGCAGTCCATTTAATTTTTTTACAACTTCCAATTTTCCTAGATTTGTACTTCATGCAGTCCAAGTTCTGATGATCGATTGATGTTTTTAGCAGTTTTGTCTCATTTTGAGTTGTGCCCCATCAACACATAAAGGTCCCAAAGGCTTTACTTCTATAAGCTTTATTCATCCATGTCCTAATGGTCAACTCTACTTTGACAAGGCAGCTCTTCCACAGACACGCTGAGTGCACTGCCACCTGAGGGCCTCACCTTCTGGCACCATCTCTGCTGATGTTCTGCTTCTAGTGGTGAGGTTTTCAGTATCTGACAATATCTTGATGGTATCTATTCAGGTTTCAGTGGCTAAGTCTTCAGAAGCAGACAGCCTATTCTTTCTTCCTAGTCAGTTGTTAATCCTGGAAGCTCTGCTGAAACCTGTTCTTTCTGTACATTTGAGTGAACCTGTTGGTTTTTTAAGTACCCATAACATAGCTTCACAGCAAAAATACAAGACACCACACAGTAGGACAAACAGAGAGACAAATGGTAGCAAGCTAGACTATACCAAACACGAATTATGTAAAATGGACATTTGAAAAAAAAGGAAGTAAATGTATCAAGTACTAATAATTTTTTCAAACCACAAGTTCTGAATAGGACACAAAGAAAAATTCCCTATTACACAAACCTGAAAGATTATAAATTTGAGTAGAAAGCCTCATCTTTCTCCCTAAGAATGGCCAATGGTTTTGAACTGCTGATCTCAAGGTTAGCAGTCCAACGTGTGGCTGCTATGCTGCCAGGGCTCCATTGGGTCACTAAACATATCCAAAATGATACCAGAAACATTATTGCATGAAAACTTAATAGATGTGGCCAATTATCTAACTTAAAATTCATATCCTCAAATATTTTCATTAACAAAAATTATCAGAAACCAACTTTTTATCAAGTCTGAGGGAGGAAGGAGAAAAGAAAATTATAAAACATAAACATATAAAACTATATAAAATAAACTCATTAATTTATCCATTAGAAACCAGAAAAAGAATGAAATTGATATTGTATTGTTAAAACATTAAATAAATTAGCTGCTTCTTACTGTCCTCAAATATACAAACACACATAAAATACGTCAAGCACTGCTGTATAACAAAAGTTAATTTACACAAAGTGCTTAGGCCACCACCAGACACATATGCACCCAATGAACACCGCCGGCTGCTACTGTTCATATGGATGGTCACGTCCTCTTCAGTTCTTAAAATTGTACCTCTTTCAGTCTAAAATTATGTAAATTCTTTGTTTCTATTTTGTTATTGGAATGAAATTTTAATATTTAACATTTATTTTCTACAAATGTAAAAAATGAAGTGTTATAAACTGCTCTTTTCCAACTATGTGATGTATAAAGCTTTCTCAGAGCTCTTACAACTGTTTCCATATTACACCTTTTCTACTTAAAAAAACCTTTAAACGCTGGGATTGCACTTTCCACCTATATTATTAGCAATTACTTAGAGAGTATTTACTTGTTTTTTGCCCTTCCTCTCAATTTGTCTTTTTAAAACTCCTATGGCATAGCTACTGTGATGGCTGAAGATTTAATGTGACCATCTCCAGAAGTCTTCCATTTCCCCAAAAACTTGTGTAAGGTAGTATTACTCAGCATATCTTTAGTCTTAAGATACATATATTTATCTAATTTCAAGATAAAATCATTTTAGGTCAAATCATATTTTTTACAGCAGAACAGCAGCATTCAACCAGCTTAAAACTGAATTCCTCAGCACTGCTAATTTACTGGCTATGTAAGATTGAACACATAGCCTAATGTGTGTGAGCCAGTCTTCCTGTTCACATTTTATCCATAAAGTATTAGCCCACCTACTTCAAATCGTTGTGACAAAAAAAAAAAAAATCGTTGTGATGAGCTTCAAACTCTACATCTCTTCCTTCAAATTACTAAGTGACAATACACCCCAAATCAAACCCACTGCCATCAAGTTGATTCTGATTCTGATTTATCAAGAGGCAAAAATACAGAACTCAAGGAATCTACACTTTCTGGAGTCATTGAGGTGACTAAGCACCTGACACGATTGCTCAGGAATCTATAACCATAGACCAAAACTACTTCTTAAGTCCTCTGAGAACCAAATAATAGTGTACTTCACTTAACTAGTAAAAAAGGTGTAGCTTGAGCATTATGCTCTTGAATAACTAGAGATGAATCAAATTGGCAACAGCAACCTGAAAGATTAGTTAGGAATCTTAGGGGCTGGTAAATTTACGATAATAGGGGGGATTCCGGGGGGGGGGGGGGGTGGGGGAACGGGACGGGACAATTTAGAAAAGGAAGGGTAAAATGGTCTCACAGCTGGAAGACTGTAATCAATATCACTAAATGATATATATTAAAATTGTTAATAGTTGTGTATGTTTTGCTACGTACACTCTCAATAACAGAACATACTTAAGAAAGAAAATAACAAACAAAAAGAAATAATAAATAAACTTGTCCAGACAGGAGAAATTAATACTAGATAGGGCATCAGGGATCAGTAAACATTTTCTGTAATGGCCAATGAATGTTTCGGGTTTTACAGGTCTTAAGGGCTCTGTTGCAACTACCTAACTTTGCTTTGGTTACACCAAAGAGTCAAAAATAGATGTGGCTGTGTTCCACTGTACAAAAGCAGTTGGTAGGATTGAATTTAGCCAGCAGGTCATTGTTTGCCAATGCTTGATAAACACAAAGGAATAAATAATACCAGAAATGGTAAACATAGTATTTTTCCTTTTATTTTAAATGTCTTTAAAAGAGAAAATTGACTGCTTGAACCAAATATAACAATAATGTATAGCGGGGCTTTGCAATATATCTAGAAGCAAAATGTATGGCAAAAGTAACAAAAAGGATAGTGGGAGGAAATGTGTGCTATAGTACATACCACACAATATACATCCTAGTTATCATTCAAGTGGCATAACATCACTTGAAAGTAGATCGGGATAAATTAAGATGTATACTGGAAATTGTATATCAACCACTAAAAATAAAAACAAAACACCAAATACCTGTAAGTCAACAGCAGAGATACTATAAATCATGAAATAGACAAGAAAAGCTCAAAGAAGAAAACAGAACAGAGAAGAGAAAACTGGACAAACACACTGACCACTTTCCAGTTAGCAACATTAGGTCTGAGAATTGCCAGGCTATTACGTGAATCAGGTGCTGTACCCCATCTTCAGCCTGTGTTCCCCTGTCCATGCTATTGCTCACAAGCTATGGGATACCCCTAGTGAGTCTCAGGACACGCATGGCGCAGCAACCCCCCATTCTCCACATCTTCGTCACCACTGCAGAACCTACAAGGTATTGTGATAATCAGGTGTCACCCTGACTGCTGCCTCTTCTCCATCTTAAGTTGGGAACCAGCTCATCTTCCATCCATCATGGCCCCATGCGGCCCCTTCCCTCCACTCTCACCAACCTCCTTATCATCTCCTGGTTCTTGCCCAGCCTCCCTTGCCTGCCCGCACTCTCACAATATTCTGTCTTCTTCCCGGGCCGTCCGTAGCTGGACTGAGACATTGCAGACAATGAGAGAAGGCATCCAGCTTGGCTGTCAATCAAGGGGCCTCCAGAATTATTGCTCCAGGTGGCTGCCAGAGAGCACAGCAAGTCTGGCTGCAGTCCTGCTTGGGGTCTAGACTATCTGAGGCAGCCCCTGAGAATGTTTTAGAAGTTGTTATAAATGTAAAATACCAGATAACAACATAGTCAGTCAGTGAAGAGTAGATGTAGCAAGATGATGTATTTAAACACAATCTTATCAATTACATTAATTAATGTAGATGGTCTATCTGCCCAACCAACTCCACTGCCATCGAGTGGATCTTGACTCAAAGCAACCTCCTTTGAGAGGCTATAAATCTTTATGGGAGCATACAGCCTCATTTTTTTCACTGTGAAGCAGCTGGTGGGATTGAACCGTCTTGTGGTCAGCAGTCCAATGCTTACCTAACAGTATCATTAACCATAGTCCATTTATAAATCAGAGATTGTCAGAGTGGACAAGTAAGAATAACATACTGAAGAGGAATTCAAACACTTACTGATGAAGTTGGTTAAAGATTACAGCCTTCCGTATGGATTATACGTCAACAAAACAAGAAATACTCACAACTGGACCAATAAATATCATCATGATAAAGGGAGAAAAGACAGTGAGTTCCCAAGAATTTTCCTTCTCTGTTGTTGTTGTTTAACAATAAGGGCAATTATCTCATAAGATGCTTATTGACCACTTGGACTTCCTCTATTCTTATGTTCATATTCAAGTGTTCTGTCCATTCTTCTGCTGAAATGCTGTCTTTTGCTTACTGAAATAAATGATGAATTAATACAAGCAATCTTAAAATGACTTAAACCTGACTTACTATTTTAAATCCCCTGACTTTCAGGGACATAATGACCACATATCGCCCCCAACACCACCACCAGATACAGCAATGCTCAAGAGTACTGACCTTGCCATGGCTTCTTTCCACTTTCTGAAAACATTTATTCAGGGACAGATTATGACGAACAGAATTCTTCCAGCCTGTTGGCGCAGTAGCAAAATATGGGAAGCGGTCCAGAATCCAGCTATAAATTTCTTTGACAGGCAAACATTTGTTTGGAGAGTGTTCAATAGCCATATAAATGAGAAGACTAAAGGAGTAAGGAGGCTTTGAAGTTGCAGATTTCTTCTCTGGGTCCTGGTAGCAAGATGGTCCAAATGGGGACACTTCATCCCCCTCTATATCATACAGCGGACTAACAATCGGAAGACCCTCGCTTCCAATGCTGAAGTTGGTAAGAAGATTAGTACTTTCATGAAGCCAGTTCAAGTTTGTGAGTTCATCATCGGCTGACTCACTGTCCACTAGAGTGGCCTTTGGCCTGGCAGCATCAACAGCTTCTGGCAAGCTTCCCATTTTGTAAATCTGGCTTAATCCTGCAACCTTTTCAGCTCCTGGGGTTTCAGCTCTTTTATCTGGAGTCATTCCAATTACCGGACCCATTTACTTTTAAATGCTGCAATAAAGAAAACAGTCATCCATCAGCATAATTCTTAAGATTCTTAATC